GTGGAGCAGGGAGCCTGATGCGGGGCTCGATCCCAGGACCCTAAGATCATGACCCGAGCCGAAGGCAGTCGCTTAACCAGCTGAGCCACCCAGGTGCCCCTGGGTGATGTATTTTAGAAAGGGAAGGTCTCTGTAAGGAAGTGACATGTGAGCAGAAAGCTGGAGGAAGTAAGGAGAGGGCCAGGCGAATATCTGAAGGAAGAATGTTCTAGATAAGAAGAGTGGCGAGGGGGCAGGCCCTGAAGTGGGAAGGTGCTGGTGTGCTTGAGGAACTGCAGGGGTGCCGATGGAGCTGGAGATTCAGGGAGGGGAGGGGAGTGGTGGGAAAAGAGGGCGGAGAGGTGCAAATTGTGTGGGATCCTGGTAAGGATTTACTAGCCTGCTGACCTTGGATGATTCTCAGAATCTCCCTAAGCCTTCAGTTTTCTTATCTGTGAAAGGATAGTAACCTCAGAGGGTTGTCGTGACCGTTTCATGAGCTAATTTAAAATAAAAGGTTTCGCATGGTGTCTGACACAGAGTGAGTGCTCCATGAAGCCAGGTCTCCCAGAACCATGCCGGTCAGGCTGACTACCTTCTCTGGTCTCCCAGGACGAGGGCTCCTTCCACCTCAAGGACACAGCCAAAGCTCTGCTGAGGAGCCTGGGCAGCCAGGCTGGCCCTGCCCTGGGCTGGAGGGACACTTGGGCCTTCGTGGGATGCAAAGGAGGTACTGGCCCCATAGGCCATCCACCCTAGAGTATCAGGGGCCCGGGAGGAGCAGAACCCCAAGAGATGGGGTGGGGTTGGGGGCAAAGAGGAGCCAGAAGCGGTGGGCTGGATGAAAGTGGGCAGAGAGATGGGAAGAAGCTTTAAAACTGGAGCCTGGGCCCCCATTGTGCCTCATTCCTGTCCCCTGCTAGGTCCTGTCCTTGGGGAGAAACATTCTAGGTCACCTGCCCTCTCCTCCTGGGGGGACCCAGTCCTGCTGAAGACAGATGTGCCGCTGAGCTCAGCTGAAGGTGGGGTTAGTGGGGGCTGGGCTCCAGGGCAGTGCCTGGGCTCCAGGTGGGCATTAGGGTCCTAGTTATGAAGCTTTATTTTTTTGACTGGGTGCCTGGGGCTCTGTAAACCACACTAGCCTCGAGCCCCCTCATGCCTCATCCCATTGCCCACATCCCTCCCTCAGAGGCGGAGTGCCACTGGGCAGACACCGAGCTGAACCGTCGCCGCCGGCGCTTCTGCAGCAAAGTGGAGGGCTATGGGAGTGTGTGCAGCTGCAAGGACCCCACACCCATCGAGTTCAGCCCTGACCCAGTGAGTGGGGCCTCAGACAGTGAGGCTTAGACTCCTTCTCAGCTTGGCAGGGGGATCTAGGAAAGAGCCAGGTTGGGCTTTGCTGACCCCAGCCTGAGAGGGAACCAGGACCTGGGGATTTATGCTGACCTCTGAAAGACGGGTGTGTGTGTGGCGGGGCGTTAGGCCATGTGAACAAAGGCCCAGAGTTGGAGTTGGGTTGAGTGTGTGGAAGAGCCCAGACAGGGAGACCCTCTGCCATTTCCCTCTCTACTCTGGAGTCGCCTTCTCCCCAAAGAACTCTTCCCTAGGTGGGGATCCCGGTTTGAAGAGGGAGTGAGGCAAGAGCTAAAAGCTGTTTTTCTCTCAGCTCCCAGACAACAAGGTCCTCAACGTGCCTGTGGCTGTCATTGCAGGGAACCGGCCCAATTACTTGTATAGGTGAGCCTGGGAGTGGGCTGTTCCAGCGCTGAACGGGAGGGTGCTTACCACGGGGGAGCCTCGGGCTCATCGGCCTGCAGGAGGAACTCTTGCAGTGGGAGGAAAGGCAACAGATTCTAGGCCCATTCACCATGGGGGTGAACAGGGGGAATGTGAGCCCATTTATAAGCACAGGGCGGCCCTGAGTTGCGAGGACAGAGAGGCCTAACCCATCCCTGGGCTCCCCAGGATGCTGCGCTCTCTACTCTCAGCCCAGGGGGTGTCTCCTCAGATGATAACAGTTTTCATCGATGGCTACTACGAGGTGAGTGGGGTTTGGGGACTATGGGAAAAGCAGAGCCCAGGGTTGCGGGTGCGGAGGAGCAGTGATCACAAGAGAGACAGCCCAGGTAAAGGCTGTGAAATGTGAATGGCTTGGCATGGCGGAGCCTGCAAGGTGGATGGACAGGGGGCAGGTGGTTCCCATGGTGACCAGTAGCCATGCCCCCCAGGAGCCAATGGATGTGGTGGCACTCTTTGGTCTGAGGGGCATCCAGCACACTCCCATCAGCATCAAGAACGCCCGTGTATCTCAGGTACTGCCTAGGCAAGGATGGAAGGGGCAGACACCTGACCCCGCCGTCCACGCCAAGGCTCATGTGCCCTATTTCCACTCCCCACCCAGCACTACAAAGCCAGCCTCACTGCCACTTTCAACCTGTTTCCGGTGAGTAGTAAGGACAAAGCCCTTGGACCTGGGGAGGGGAAACATGGTATAAAGTCTGGTCTTATTAGACAGCAAGCTCTTCCCCTCTCTGGGCCTCAGCTTCCTGATCTGGAAAATGGGGGTAGTGCTGCCTGGAAGTGAGATGGGGGTGGAGGAGGCACAGGATGGGAAAGGCCCCCTGAGGGTCATGCTTGTCCCCTCTCCCCCTGCAGGAAGCCAGGTTTGCCGTGGTTCTGGAAGAGGACCTGGACATTGCTGTGGATTTTTTCAGGTGAGGGGAGTGCCCCTCCATAAGTTGCCTCTCTGTGCAGCCTCTGTCAGCTGCCTCGGGCCTATTTCCTTAACTGGCTCTCCAGGGAAGAAGGCACGGGGTGTCTGGGAGAGCTTTGTGGGAGAAGTCAGCTCAGAAGTGGGGGGAAAGCCTGCACAAAGGTAGGATGGCAGGTGTTGTGGTTGGAGTAGAGTAGAAGGGATGGGTGGAGACAGTGGGGCTCTGGGGGCCGGGACCAGCAGGCATGACTCCTGAGTCCCATCTCCAGCTCCCCCAGCATCACTTTGTGATTGCATTTGTCCTTGTCCTTCCCTGAACCCTTGGACCCTGCCTCTCTCAGTTTCCTGAGCCAGTCCATCCACCTGCTGGAGGAGGATGACAGCCTGTATTGTATCTCTGCCTGGAATGACCAGGTAAGCCCAGGGGCCAGGGGTCAGCTGGGGAATTGGTACAAGCACCAAGCTAAGACCTCCCACCACACCTCCCTCCCCGCCCGTTCCCAGGGATATGAACACACGGCTGAGGACCCGGCACTGCTGTACCGTGTGGAGACCATGCCTGGGCTGGGCTGGGTGCTCAGGAAGTCCTTGTACAAGGAGGAGCTTGAGCCCAAGTGGCCCACACCAGAAAAGGTGCCCTGGCAGGGTAGCGGGAGTGGGCTGGAGTCCCCCACCAGCTCCAAACCTCTTCACCTTTGTAATCTTCCATGCCCCCAGCTCTGGGACTGGGACATGTGGATGCGGATGCCCGAACAACGCCGGGGCCGAGAGTGCATCATCCCTGATGTGTCCCGATCCTACCACTTCGGCATTGTTGGCCTCAACATGAACGGCTACTTCCACGTGAGTGGCAAGCCGGGTGTTGGGGAGGCGGGCACAGTGTGGTAGACCGAGCATTCCCAGCTCTGCCACTGACTAACCTGGGTGAAAATTCTGTATCCTCTTTTGCCTCAGTTTCTTTATTTGTAAAATGAGGATAAAACTGCTACCTACCTCATAAGGTTTTGAGGTGATGAGGTTTAAATGAGTTATTATATGGAAAATGCTTTGAACTGCAAGCATTATATAAGGGTTAGCTGGTATTATTTTTATTATTACTATTCTTAGCACCAGACTCTCGGTGTGGGGAGGGTATTTCTGCCCCCAGGCACTTAACGCAGCCCTGCAGCCTCTGCCCTCTCCTGTCCTTGCAAATGTGGGGGGCCAAGCCTCAGCCTGAAGTGAACAGGGACGTCCCTAGGCCCCCAGGCCTTAACCTGGCTGCGTCTAAAGGGCCACTCCCCAGTTACAGCAAGAGTATGCCTTGAGACAGCCCGGCCCAAAGGAACATTTGGATGGCTTGGAACCTCCTAGAAGCTGGAAGGACCGTGAGAGGCTGGCTTATACAAGAGAGGGGCAGGCATTTACCTGAGGTCACCGTCAGTACCTTAGTCACAGCACTTTCCTTCCTCTCAGCACAGCCTGTCCTTTTGCCCACCAGGCCCTGTAGGGCCCGCTCTGGTTTCTGTGGCCCTACAACAGCAGACCCAAGGATAACCACAGGGAGCAGGGACTAGCTCGGGGGTCAGTAGCATGAGCTGCCAGTGTGGGCATGAGCTCTCTGGCAATGGTGGAGCCCAAACTAAAGCTAGTAAGAGCCTGCTGGGGATGCTACAAAGAAGAGGATGGGGAAGATGGGGGCGGTGGTTAGAGGGACCTCTATGGGTCCAGGACTTCAATTGTGGGCCTTGTGGATATGTGCTGGGTCAGTGGGCAGGTGTGGGCCTGCCAGTGGGAGGCCTGATGTTCACCCTCACACCCACTCCAGGAGGCCTACTTCAAGAAGCACAAGTTCAACACGGTTCCAGGTGTCCAGCTCAGGAACGTGGACAGGTGGGGGCTGGGTACAGGGCAAAGGGGAGGATGTCTAGGAGCCTTGATGACCAATCCCCAGTATTCCCTTTCAACCCTGGGGCCGGGTTTTTTGCCCCAGCCCTGCTGCCACCCAATTCCCATGTGGTCCCTTGCCTTGCCCCTGGAACCTGAAGGGTGACCCCTTCCCCTGACCCATTTTTCCTTCTCCTTCAGTCTGAAGAAGGAAGCTTATGAAGTGGAAATTCACAGGCTGCTCAGGTATGGCCTCTGGCAGTAGGGATATATGGCAGGGAGCGAGGAGGCAAATACTGGGGGTCTTGGCCCCATAACTTTTGGGGCCCACTGCAAAATGAAAATCCGGGCACCTTGTTCAAAAATTAAGAATTTTAAGACAGCAGTAGCAGAGCATTAAACTAAGCACAGGGCCTTGGGTAGCACACCTGTGATGCAGGCTCCGTCTTGGTCTTTCTCCCCCACCCCCTGCTACAGTGAGGCTGAGGTTCTGGACCACAGCAAGAACCCTTGTGAAGATTCTTTCCTGCCAGATACAGAGGGCCACACCTATGTGGCCTTCATCCGAATGGAGAAAGATGATGACTTCACCACCTGGACCCAGCTTGCCAAGGTGCTCCACCAACACACCCACCCCAGGCTTACTCCTCCCCACCAGATACAGGGAGCCTTTGTTCTGGAATCTTCTGCCTTAGAACCTTCTCTTCATACTCTGGGAACCCCTCTTCCAACCCTTTTGTTCAATTCCATATTCTAGAAGATGCTACATCTTGAAAATTGAGGAGACTGCTGAGGAGGGGTGGAGGCTGGGCCAGGGGTCCTCAATGCCCCCTCCCCACAGCTCTCTGACCCCTGCCCCTCCCCTCTACCCCACCTCTACCAGTGCCTCCATATCTGGGACCTGGATGTGCGTGGCAACCACCAGGGCCTGTGGAGATTGTTTCGAAAGAAGAATCACTTCCTGGTGGTGGGCGTCCCAGCCTCCCCCTACTCGTGAGTACTCTTTTCTGCCCTGGGAAATGGGAGACTAGTGGGATTAGAGGACATAGCTAATTACCTCTTCCCTGCACATTTTCAAATTATCTTCCCAGGGTGAAGAAGCCACCATCAATCACCCCAATTTTCCTGGAGCCACCCCCAAAGGAAGAGGGAGCCCCGGGAGCCGCAGAACAGACATGAGACCTCCTCCAGGACCCTGCAGGGCTGGGTACTGTGTACCCCCAGGCAGGCTGGCCCTTCACCCCATCCTGTAGGATTTTGTAGACACTGGTAGGGGTTGGGGCTGGCTTGTTTTTAACATGAGACTTAATTACTAACTCAAAGGGGAGGCTTCCCCTGCTCCAACACCCCTGTACCTGAGTTGGAGGTCTATTTATTTACTTCCCTGTTGGGAAGGGGCAGGATAGTACCTGGGAATCTTTGGGGTCCCTGGGCAGCTGATCCTGCCCTTTGCACACTCCCTCCTCCCAGGCCTGGCTCAGAATCTAACCTATTTATTGACTGTCCTGAGGGCCTTGGGAACAGGCTGAAGCCTGGAGGGCCTTGATTCCTTTCTCGGCTGGGGTGCTGCCCTGAGGGTGGGGCTGGCTCTTACTCAGGAACCTGCTGTGCCCTGTGCCCAACCCATGGACAGGCCCACTGGGGCCTCCTGCTGATGCAGACTCACTCAGAGACCCTCAGACACGGAACCAGGCCTCTTCTCAGCCTCCCCTTTGTCCAGGTTTCCAAAGCTGGATAAGGTGGTCATTGATTAAAAAAGGAGAAAACCTCTGGGGATGTGTTTTATGATTGTGGGGTGGGGGGGTGGTGTGAGAGAGAGAGAGAAATAGATAAGTAGGAGAGAGAATGGTCGTGAGGGTAGTGAGTTTTCTTTACTGTCCTCCACAGGGTTTAGCTTCCATTTGGGGCCATTTGGCCACCAGGGGATGCCCAAGTCTCAAACTCCAAGATTCTTCTCTAAGCTCCACCTTAGGACAACTGAGCCTGACCTTAGCCCCACCCTACTTGGGGCTGAGCTTAGAGCAGCCACCACAAACCCCCTCCCAACAGAGCTGTTAACCTGCCTAGCTTGTCTGGGCAGGTACCTGTCCCCAAAGGTGGAGCAAGAGAGCAAAAAGAGATACTTGGGGTGGGGGAGGCGATGGGAGAGTAGGTGAGTCTAGTGGGGATAGAAGTGGGTGAGACAGAACCGGGGCGGCATTATTCAGGAGGCTGGGACTGGGCTGCAGATAGAAAGTTATAGGAGCAAGGATCTGTGGCCCTCAGGGTACTTTGTATGCAGATCACATACCTAGGCATTTTTCTGGAGAAAAGCCACCATTTTTATCAGATTCTCACCCAGCCAGTGACCCAAAGAGAGGAGGAAGATCTAACTTAGATAGTCGGAGAAGCATCAGGAAATGAAGGCGATTGTCTGGAGGTAGTGGATGAGAAAGCCTAAGGCAAGGGGCAGGACATTTAAGGGATCTGCCCAGGACTTAGGATCAGGGAGGTGAGTGTAGAACACACCTCCTGAGAACTAGTCAGCCTGCAGAGTCCTTTCAAGGTGAGCCTGGGGAGTTCCTTATAGAGAGCTTGGCCAGGGGGGCAGGAACTGACTAGAACTCCTGCCCTTTCACCAGCTATACCCCTTCCTCCCCTACCGGTGCCTGGAGCCCAGCTCCCCGATAGGACAGGTGGCACACGCGGTGTGCTGCTTGGACCGTTTCTCACCACCCTGACGCCTTCAGTGTTTGCTGGAGATAGAGATAGTGCTTGAGGTGCTATGACAACCAGGTTGAGGGGAAGTGAGCCCATGACTAGGTGGAGACGAGGTGGAGGTCCGCCCTGGGCAAACAAACGCCCTACAGCCTCTGTGTACGCACCTGGTGTGCGAGAGATGGTCAGGTGGTGAAGGGGGGAGAGGGACTAGTGGAGACTTGCTCTCCCTGTCCCCCACCCCACCCCTCGCAGGCTTGTGAGCTAGGTCTCAGATTAGCTCTCGGGCACCGTGTGGCTCTGGCCAGGTTGTTGTTCCTTCTTGGGCTCAGCAAGGGGTAATAAACAGTTCTGGGCTGCCCTAGAAAAGCCAGGGAGGAAGGACCAGGGGTCAAAGGGAAGCAAGGGGGAAGACGGTCTGTCAGGCTGGGTTTTGTTGGCCATAGCCTCCCTCGCTAGTGCTGTCCTGGTTCAGCAGCAATCAGATCTGTCTGGGATCTTCTGGCCTTCAAGTGAATCTGACTCCATGCCAGCCAGGACCGCACCAGGTTCTGGAGTCAGACAGCCTGGGCCCAAATCAAGGCTCAGCCCTTCAGGGAAGGTTGTGGGTGTAGAACAAGTCACTTGGCCTTTCTAGGCCCAGTTTCTGGAGCTTGGGGGTGGTTAAGATTAAATAAGAGATGAGATCTGTAGAGTCCCAGAGACAAACCAAGACCAAAAATAAAGTTCTTTCTAAAATACCCAAAGCCGGGACAGGTGTGGGGCTTTACCCGACTGAGAAGGATAGGCAGCTTGGATCCTGTGATAGGGGCTTCTGGAGGGTTTCCAGAGCCTAAGAAGTGACCCTTTTCCATTGCCTTGGCAGTATTTCTGGTCTCTCTGCCCCCACTTGGGCACAGACTTGTTATTTTCATAGCTTTCCAGTCCATTGCCCCCACCCAGGAGGGGGTATTTTCAGGCCAACGTCCTCCCACATTATAGGTAGGCAGACTGGCCCAGCCCCCAAGTCCTCCCTGAGTGCCCTCTTGGTCATCCCTGTTAGGCTCCCTCCCAGGCCTGGAATTCAAGTGAAGGAGAAATAGGCACCTACTTTCCCCCTACTTTTCCTTCTGTGACCTTTACCGGGGCCTTGTTGAGTCACCAGCCCCTCAGGAATCTGAGGCCAGGTTGGGCAAGCGGGCCTGCCTCTCCAAGAATACACGGAAAGAGTTCCGAACGAAGACATTTTAATTGGGTAATTAGTTCTGAAGTGCCTTCTACCTCTCTGTCCGGTGCCTGCTGATTTTACATATGCCTGCGTGATAGGGTGTCTTTCTCTCATCCCCCAGGGGCCTGTTGGGGTCACCAAGAGCACCCCTGGGCCTGAAGGGCTGCCAAGGGTTTGAGGGACAGACTGGAAGCGTGGGCAGGAGAACCGGCTGCCTTAGAGGTCCTGGCCCCAACCCCACCCATGGAAGGAAAAGTCAGGCACAGCCTGAAGGGGGCCATCCCCTATTTGGCCCCAAGTCCAGAGCAGCAAGGCCAGCCCACTCTGGCCCAAGTGACACCGTTGGATCCTGTCCCCACCCCAGTCACTGCCGCTTGGCAGTGCCAGGGTGCCTCTCCCCAGTTCTTAGGTGGCAGCAGGCGGTGGCGGAGGCAAAAGCAGACTTATTTCAGATTGCAGTACAGATACATGGACACAATCATGGCAGCCAGCTGGTGGGAAAGGAACGGGCCGAGGTGAGGGATGTGCTGAGGGCCCTCACGCTTTAGTCCCCTGCCTCCCGGATACCCTGCAGGAAGCTCCGGTAGAAGTCTGTCTCCTCCAGCAAGGCCTCGGAGATGGGTCAAGCACCCCGGTCCAGTGGGGTTATCCTGCCCCCCCAACTCCACACCCCCTTACCTCCAAGCCCCCAATTCCGGCTGCCACACCACCCACGGTGACTGCGTTGGTTCGGACGTCATGCAGAAGCTGGCTGAAACAACCCTTGGGGGAGGGGAGAGCAGCCACAGTCAGCAGCTGCGCCCCTCCCTCATTCAGCGCTTTGAGGCCATGGAAGCAGCCCCCCCCTTCCATGCCGCACCTGGACAATGGTGTCATTCGCCTTCTCCTTGGTGCAGGGTCCTGTGGCTGTGCCGTTGCCACTGTCGGAGCAACAGTAAGGGGGAAAGGTGTGGTGGTTCTTGACGTAGGGAGAGTCCTCAAAGTCCGTGAAGTTGTTGAAGCCACAGCACTTGAGCTGAAGAGGAGGCGGGAAGGGTGGTCAGCAGGGCCTTGCTTCTTTCCCCCCACCCCAAAATCTCCCCCAGCCCACCTTACCCCATCCATGGTGGTGTTCCACACTTGGGTGAAATCCTTCTGGGAACCGTAGTCTTGCTTGATGGCGGGCACTACCAGCGAGGTCAGCAAGTGCTCAGCCTGGGGGTGGGGGGGGGCAGGCCAGTGCTCAGGGCTGGGCCTGGAAGGTGGCCACGCACAGGCCACAGCCCACTTGCAGGGCTCTTCCCAATCTCCCCCCTCGCCCGGCCCCCCACCATGGTGGTTCGCCCCGCCCCCCCACCGTGGTGGTTCGCCCCGCCCCCCCTCACCATGGTGGTTCACCCTGCCCCTCACCGTGGTGGTGTACAACAGGGCGACCACAGCTGCTGCCACCTCCGCGGTGAAGATGAGGAGGAGGATCAAGAAGAACTGGATGGGGAACAGAGCTCTGAGTTTGAGAGAGAGACGGTCCCTCATGCCTTACTCGTAACCCACCACCCAGTAAAAGGAGGCCGCGGCCCCCTCTGCTGAGGGCCCTGGAGTCCAGAGCATGGTTTGGGGATCCCCAAGGCCTCGATTCAAGGGTGAGGGGACCCTGGGTCTTGGGTATGGGCCCGGGGAGCTGGGTTTGACACACCATCATGAGGGCACACTTGTTCTCAGTCTGAGCACCGTAGCAGCCCAGGAAACCGAGAGCAAAGAGCACAGCACCAGCAGCGATGAGGAAGTAGCCCACGTTGACAAATTGCATGGCACTGGACGACAGCGGCCCGAAGATTTTCAGGAAGGACGGCCCATCGATTGACACCCAGATGCCCACGGCCAACAGGGCGACACCACACAGCTGGGGACAGAGAGGCAGGCCTTAAAACGGTGCGGGCAAGCAGCTCCTTACCACGCAGTTGAGTCAGGAAGATGGAAAATGAGAAATTCTCCTTTTATTGGCTAAGGAGTCTAAAAACTCATCCTGCAGGGAGGAAAAACATTCTGTAGAGCCAGAAGGATGGGAGCTGGGCCACCCATAGCCAGCACCAGGCTGCACACCAATGCAGATATAAATGGGATCGGGGGTTCTAGAAATATCCACAGGATGGGGGAGGGCAAGGCAAGACTTTTCCTCACTGCTGTCAGGGTCCTGCCGCGTGGTTAGGAGGGAAGCGGGTGAGGCCAGCAGGGCTCCCCACCCCATTTCCTTGTGGAGCTGACCGCCTCTGTCCTGGGACAGGTGAAACAGTGGGGTGGAAGCCCTGAACAGGCTCAACGGTCACCATAGCAACAGAGGTGGGGCTGAGGTTTACACCTGCTTCCAACCGTGGAGTGGGACTGTGAGAAAAGACACCTACCTTGGGGCCACATTTGGCTCCTCTCCAGGATCAAACTCCAGGCCTGCCCTTCATCTAACCTAGACCCCTCCTTGCCTCACAAGGAAAACTGAGGCACCAGAGGGGGAGTGCAGCCGGGGCTTCTTTTAGAGGCTCTCTGTCTCAATCCCAAACCTCAGTGAATCCAGAGGCCCAGACGGGGGAGGAGGTACTCTGTCCAGATGCCACAACTCTTAGAGCAAAGCCTTGCTGATCCAGAGCATCAGTGGATGAATCAGCCTGATAACCACCTTGGTGCCCCGTCCCCAGCTGTAGAAACTGAGGCTAGAACCAGGAGTGAGATGGCAGATTGTGGCTAGATCCCAGGCATGTTTGCCCAAGGACAGAGAGCTGGGCTCCCAGCCTACAGGGTCAAATTTCAAGGAGCCTGAGACCTGCCCTGCCTTGCCCAGCCTGGCAAAGCCTGAGCAACAGGGGCCAGAAACCAAACCGGATTTGCCTTTAACCCCCTCGGGCCAGAACACCTGCTCTCCGTATTGCTGGGATCCCTCTGCCTTCCCCAGACATATGGATAAAGGCTACTTCCCTGAAGCCAAAAGAAGCCCAAGGCATGCACCATATCGGAGTCAGAGAGGTAACATACCCGTAGCCCAATTTCTCCAAATCCCTCTATACTTCATGTCTCCACCTCCTCACCTTCACTCACTCTAAGCCATTCTAATGTGGCTCCAAGGTCTGTGGTGCCATCCTGCGCTAAATCGGGTGGGCACTTTGTGCGCCATACCCTCCTGACCTCTCTGAGATCGTGGTCTCCTTGTTTTCCTCCTGTTACTCTTTATCTGCTTCCTGGTGGCCATTTCTCCACATATCCCTTGTAAACTGGGTTTCGCTGAACTCACTCAGCCTGAGAGCTCTTACCCACTCCCATGGTTTCGCTGATTATTTGTGGTCATGTGACTTCCAAATATCCATGTTCAGCTCCAACCAGAGCTGCAACCCCATTGGGTACGCAGCTGCCTGGGAGACATCCCCTGGGTTGCTCAGACCAGAGACATGGGCTTTATCTTTGAAGCCTCTGTTTCCCTTGCCCCTCCTTCTGTCCCTCAGCCAGCATCTGAGGGCTTTTCCTTAGTCCATCTCTCCCCATCTCCACCACCATTTCCAGGATCATGCCTTATTACTCAGCTTCCTCAGACATGCCCTATACAATCTGTTCCTGGTTTCCTGAACAATACTTGATTTCATTGCCTCTGGGCCTTTTTGCATGCTTTACAACCCCTTCACCCAGCGTAAATGTCCAGTCTCAGCTATTTCCTCCAGACAGTCTTCTCTGACCAGGGTTCAAGCCCCCTCCTGGGGGCTCCCATAGCCCCTGTGCTAAGGCCAGGCATTGTATGTTGCAACTGTCTGCCTATCTGGCCTGCTGGACCTGAAATCCTCAAGGGCAGAGAAAGAGCTCACTCACCTTTCCCCCAGCACTTAGCACTTAGAGTCTTAGGCAATAAATGTTTGTTGAATGAATAAGGGTTGCTTGAGGCAGACTCTCTGCTCTGAGGTCTCTGGGCATCTCTCCTTTCAATTCCCCGTCCATCCTACAGAGGCCACTGAACTTCCTTGTACACTAGGTAGACTTGGGCAAACCTCTTCCCCTCCCTGGGCCCCCAGTGCCTATAAAACGGGGACATTATTCCTGTTAGCCTACCCTACCCTGCCCTAAGTCGGGTCTGAAGCTTCCTGGAAAGGAGGAGTTCCTCCTAAGCTTCTCTACCCCAACTTGTGTGGCAGCCAGGCTGCTCCTGAGACGAGGACTCAGCATTTAGGGAGACTTCTGCACCCTATCATAATGGGAGACTTGCACAACAGAGTCTGGCACAGCGATCTCCCATTTCCCAGCTTGAACTCTGCTTAGGTTGTGACCCACTCCCGCAGGGAGACCCGAAAATCCCACAACCCTCATACTTACAAAGATGAGGAAATTGAAGAGGATCATCATGGTTTTAATGAAGCTGAAGCACTGCATGGTGGCTCCTGGGAGGCAGATAAGTGTGAGTTAGGAATTCGTGCTGCCTGCCTCCACCGCCACCTGGGCTAGCCCTGGCATTTGGACCCTGACATACGAGACCCCAGCATCCAGGACCCATAAATCACCCAAACTCCCCCCGCATCTAGCCTCTGA